TAGTCCAGGACTAGTGAAATTTGAGAGGAACAATTTTACATGAACCACCAGTCTGAAATGACCTGAGGAGGAGTTGGATTTGACAAGCAGTGTCTACCCCTAATTATGGCCCAATCTTCCAACCAGCTGCATTCCTTAAAACTAACTACCGCTAATTAGCTCTCACATCTCAGTCAAAGCTGATAGTGGTTTATTTTGACATTACTACAAATATAGCAACAGTAACCTTAGCGTATTGGAGATATGTCTGCTGTGTCCCAGCTGGTGTGAACCAAGTGTTATGTCTGAAGCGTCTACATCCTAAATCTCCTAAGCTAATCACCATAAAAGTGGGGGAGCTACTTTCCCTGCCATATAATGCTATATGAATGAAATACGACATACAACCCCTGAGCAAGAGAGTGAGTTCTGCTGTACATAACATACATGATAGGCTCTGGATTGGAATACTACTTCAGAAATACTTTCAGGTTTGTTTTTATTGATGTGAGAAAAGAAATGTTATTGTGTTCATATCTGCCATATCCTGTGTCAAGGCTCTTCTGTCCTCCACCCACATCTGTGCCCTGTTGTATCCAGGTTCTTCTGTCCTCCACCCATATCTGTGCCCTGTTGTATCCAGGTTCTTCTGTCCTCCACCCACATCTGTGCCCTGTTGTGTCCAGGCTCTTCTGTCCTCCACCCATATCTGTGCCCTGTTGTATCCAGGTTCTTCTGTCCTCCACCCATATCTGTGCCCTGTTGTGTCCAGGCTCTTCTGTCCTCCACCCATATCTGTGCCCTGTTGTGTCCAGGCTCTTCTGTCCTCCACCCATATCTGTGCCCTGTTGTATCCAGGTTCTTCTGTCCTCCACCCATATCTGTGCCCTGTTGTGTCCAGGTTCTTCTGTCCTCCACCCATATCTGTGCCCTGTTGTATCCAGGTTCTTCTGTCCTCCACCCATATCTGTGCCCTGTTGTGTCCAGGCTCTTCTGTCCTCCACCCATATCTGTGCCCTGTTGTGTCCAGGCTCTTCTGTCCTCCACCCATATCTGTGCCCTGTTGTATCCAGGTTCTTCTGTCCTCCACCCATATCTGTGCCCTGTTGTGTCCAGGTTCTTCTGTCCTCCACCCATATCTGTGCCCTGTTGTATCCAGGTTCTTCTGTCCTCCACCCATATCTGTGCCCTGTTGTGTCCAGGCTGTTCTGTCCTCCACCCATATCTGTGCCCTGTTGTGTCCAGGCTCTTCTGTCCTCCACCCACATCTGTGCCCTGTTGTATCCAGGTTCTTCTGTCCTCCACCCATATCTGTGCCCTGTTGTGTCCAGGCTCTTCTGTCCTCCACCCATATCTGTGCCCTGTTGTATCCAGGTTCTTCTGTCCTCCACCCATATCTGTGCCCTGTTGTATCCAGGTTCTTCTGTCCTCCACCCATATCTGTGCCCTGTTGTATCCAGGTTCTTCTGTCCTCCACCCATATCTGTGCCCTGTTGTGTCCAGGCTCTTCTGTCCTCCACCCATATCTGTGCCCTGTTGTATCCAGGTTCTTCTGTCCTCCACCCATATCTGTGCCCTGTTGTATCCAGGTTCTTCTGTCCTCCACCCATATCTGTGCCCTGTTGTATCCAGGTTCTTCTGTCCTCCACCCATATCTGTGCCCTGTTGTATCCAGGTTCTTCTGTCCTCCACCCATATCTGTGCCCTGTTGTGTCCAGGCTCTTCTGTCCTCCACCCATATCTGTGCCCTGTTGTATCCAGGTTCTTCTGTCCTCCACCCATATCTGCGCCCTGTTGTATCCAGGTTCTTCTGTCCTCCACCCATATCTGTGCCCTGTTGTATCCAGGTTCTTCTGTCCTCCACCCATATCTGTGCCCTGTTGTATCCAGGTTCTTCTGTCCTCCACCCATATCTGTGCCCTGTTGTGTCCAGGCTCTTCTGTCCTCCACCCATATCTGTGCCCTGTTGTGTCCAGGCTCTTCTGTCCTCCACCCACATCTGTGCCCTGTTGTGTCCAGGTTCTTCTGTCCTCCACCCATATCTGTGCCCTGTTGTGTCCAGGTTGTTCTGTCCTCCACCCATATCTGTGCCCTGTTGTATCCAGGTTCTTCTGTCCTCCACCCATATCTGTGCCCTGTTGTATCCAGGTTCTTCTGTCCTCCACCCATATCTGTGCCCTGTTGTGTCCAGGTTCTTCTGTCCTCCACCCATATCTGTGCCCTGTTGTATCCAGGTTCTTCTGTCCTCCACCCATATCTGTGCCCTGTTGTGTCCAGGCTCTTCTGTCCTCCACCCATATCTGTGCCCTGTTGTATCCAGGTTCTTCTGTCCTCCACCCATATCTGTGCCCTGTTGTATCCAGGTTCTTCTGTCCTCCACCCATATCTGTGCCCTGTTGTATCCAGGTTCTTCTGTCCTCCACCCATATCTGTGCCCTGTTGTATCCAGGTTCTTCTGTCCTCCACCCATATCTGTGCCCTGTTGTGTCCAGGCTCTTCTGTCCTCCACCCATATCTGTGCCCTGTTGTATCCAGGCTCTTCTGTCCTCCACCCATATCTGTGCCCTGTTGTATCCAGGCTCTTCTGTCCTCCACCCATATCTGTGCCCTGTTGTGTCCAGGCTGTTCTGTCCTCCACCCATTGTTTTACCTTCTTATGCTTTGGCTATTCTGTCTTCCACCACAGCTCTTCTGATTCCCAGTACCCAGTCAATGTAGTAGGCAATATCCCCTCAACATGACATGTCCTCGTTCACTACCACACTGAATAATTACTTCCCCATCATTCAATATTCGCCACTTTCACTATCAGAAGGAAGAATTAGATGTGCTTGAGGATCTGTTTCAGTTTTACAGTACCAGAGAGTAATGTCACTGTGAAGATCAATAATTTGCATTAGACATGCTTCTGCACAGTGAAATTCTGTACTTAATTCATGCCTGTTTATATCAAATATGAAGCGAGGAACACCATTTCATAAACAATCAGCCATCTCTTATCTGTGATATCATTCTCTTTCACCCAATCTCAACAGGCCACAGCTCATAGGTCAATTGAGATTACACATGCTCTAAGTAGGATCAATCTTAAATATTGTCCTTCAACTGTCAGTTTATTAGTATCTAACCGACTTTACCACAGACAGCTGGTTTTGGGACAAATAAACATGACATATTTCAAAATTTACAGTGTAATATTTTTAAAAAGTATGAATACTTGACTCCGTTCTAAAAGGCAAATGCAGTAGAATAATTAGGATAGTTATTCGTTCTATCGACTGTATTCCACTTGTGTAACATATATGGAGAAAAGTGTGGCGGTAATGGATTCTCTATGAGAAATCTCAGAAAGTGTCACTTGATAACCAATGTTAAATCTGAGGTCACATGTATACTAACCATACTATTGTGTGGGAGGGTGACTCTATACACCCACAAGTTCAACCTACATAACACTGGGAAATAGCTAGAACATATATTCTACTCCTCATACTTCAGTTGTTTGTTGAAAAGGATGAAAAGGTAGTAATGTATCTAAGAGGCTCCCTACTATTAGAAACGACTCCCGACGATGAGCCAACAGAAGGAACTATTACATAAGGTCTTACAGTTCTATTTTCCCCTCAGTTTAGCCATCATACAAGCCTAATACTATTTCAACTGGTGCATCATGTAATGCTTCCATGCCTCCCCGATGGAGTTGGTCCATTAAATATTATTGTGTATTAGTCTAACCTCATAATGGTGAAATAGCATTCATAAACATACAACGTTGGTAAACAATCTGAGGAAGGCTACAATTACCACCATGTTCTCCCCCTGACATAGAACATCTGCACTGAAATGTTTTATTCATCATGTGAATATTTCCCAGCCTATCTTCCCATTGCGAATCAATACACTACACAACATTGGCACTCATGAAGGCCTTTCACCCCTGGTGTCCACTACATTCAACATCTGACCTATCTGGTAATTGCATAGACAATTAGTGTTGATTTAGTATCATTTAGCATGGAGGCAGTACTGTTCACAGCAGTAGCAACTGGCAATACTGTCAATCCCAAGTTAACAGTGACATTACTGAACTTGTAATACCCCAGCCGACCCTGCTTCCTGACCACATGCCGCTGTCCCAGCCTCCGTCAAGGATAGTTACTTAAGACTTAGTACGCAAATATCTTGAAAGACAGAATAGCTCAACCAATCATTGTGATAAAGGAGATTGCCTTTCAATTAAATTTCAAGTTCAGGAAATCAATACTGGTAAATTTCACATGGTTATTTAAAACCAAACTGCTTTTGCAATTTTTGCTGCCTCCACAGCTGCTTGTCGCAAGATGCAACTAACGTGATTGGGTTGTAAGGCTCACTGACTTAATGCATGTTATTGTATCCAAATTGCAAAGATCTATGTTCATGATGTCAATTACTGTATTGTCTGATCAAGACTTGATTATTTACAGGCCGCCGTCATATAGCTGGAATCTATACTCTACCATATCTATTTGTAATCTTTAATACACTGTAACCTTCTGTATGTCTGAGAGATGTTTTCCCTTTTAATTGTGTTTTATAATTCCAATACCAAGTAACACTCAATCTCATTAAAATCAGACGTTAGTTCTCGCTACTGCTAAACAAAGATCTGAAGACATCCCATTAAGGGTCACGTCAGAATGACCTTTCATCCGACCAATCAGTGCGTCGCTTACCAGATTATGAAAGTGACAGTCGGAATGTGACTTCTAATCATGCAATCACGAAAACTTTAACATGGGGTATTCCGAACAATAGTTACAGGTTTAACGACTGAATCCTTACAATCTAGACCATCTATTAGCCATTCCAGAATGTTTTTTTGTTCAGGTTTCAAATTTGTAATCGAGAATTTGTCAAAATATGTTTCGAAGCATAGTTGCCAATTTGAAATTTGTGCCGTAAAGCACGAGAAAGCTGCCTTCTGATTGGTCATTCCATTGGTCGATCAAAGTTCGCACAAGGTCGGTCTGACGTGACCCGTAATGGGATGTCCTCAGATCTTTGTTTAGCGATAGCAAGAACTAAGATCTGGTTTTAATAAGATTGAGTAACACTGTACCTTGGTTAATTGTAAGATACTGCAACAGTACACACATAAACTAGTGCCACGGAAATGTTTCAGGACCTGATTCTGTATGTAATAAACACAACAGCAACTGGTGCAGAGAACAATAGCTAACAGCAGCAGACACAATGTGAGCATATGGCAGTGGAGTGGGACACTGAGTGCGGTGAGCCTTCTGCCATGTGTGGTGGCAAGTGGGGAGCCCAGTTACCACTGCTAACATGCTGAAGCAGACTTTCTTTGAGATCATGCTACATGTACAAACTGGTTCTGGGGAGACTACTCCAGTCCTTCAGCTTCATGCAACAGCACATGTATGTGCTATGTGCTAGCTGGCCTGACGACACAGACAAGTGTTCAGAGAGTTCCTATCAACTCATTAGATTCTTTTCAATCACAAAATATTTGGTATTTACTGATGCAGTACACTGTGCTTGTTGTCGGCCAAGAGCGTAGGGTTTTAGATGGTGTGAGTTGCCAGCATCCGACTTTGCAATCCATTTTATACTTAGCAATCCATTTTATACTTAGCATTCAAATGTAATACTGACACACAAGATACTACTACACTAGGTAGGGATTTCTGGTCCAGGTGACAATATGGCAGGTAATTAATGTATGAGCTTCACACCATAACTGAAATACTGAAATTCACTTAAATCTGTGATAATGTTCAACAGGGTATATGTCTCCATGAAAAAAGATCTATAATTGCTGGTTAATTATAAGTCAGTTCTTAAAGTGGGATGTTTCAGGTAAAACTAATTTAGAATTATTGAGTACTAAACAACCCAAATATTTCCATAGCGATATATAAGATATTTCTCGTTAAGGCATTGATAGATATGATTAAATGATTGTTTGTGTCCACTTTCAGCCCCTCCAAGACAGCCAGCCCAGCCATTGATGTGTGGAGAGACAGGCATGTGACCATGCAGCAGAAGCAGCAGTAGCAACCTCTGTGGACCAGGGATGGGGGAGGTGGAATCATGGGTGTTCAGGAGAGTCCCTGTAGCACTAAGCATCCTGTGGACTGTGGTGCAGCTCTCTGCCTCATGCCCACAATACTGTGTGTGCCAAAACTCTACAAACATTATCACAAACATCACCTCGGTCGTATGTGCTCAAGGAAACCTTACCACAGTGCCAAAAGATTTGCCCCATGAAGTTACATCTCTCAACCTCAGCGGCAACAGAATTGTGTTGCTAGGAGTAAGCTCTCATGAAGAGGTCAACATGAGCTTTAACTTACAGCAGTCTTTGAATACTAGTGTCTTTGACCACCTCTACAACTTACAAACGGTTGACTTAAGTCAAAATGCAATTTCTACCATCCAGCCAAATGTCTTTGAAGCTTTAGGACTTTTGAAAGAGTTGAATCTGTCCAGCAACAATCTAACACACTTGTACAGTGATATGCTGTCAGGTTTGACCACAATGGAGAAGCTGAACTTAGGCCATAATAACATTGCCAGCATTGACAATGACACGTTTCTGTATCTGGGACAGATTCGAGTCCTGGATCTAAGCCACAATGACCTGTCAGAGCTACTCGCTTTCTCTTTCCTTGGCCTGCAAACTCTGGAGAAACTTAACCTTCAGCACAACAAACTTAGATATATTGAGAAGGGTACATTCTTATCTCTCAGAAGTCTTCAGGTACTAGACCTGAGCCACAACTCACTCACTGCTATTGATACTCTCACATACTTCAGCATGCCAAATCTCATCTCTCTTTCTTTCGAGGGCAACAAACTTCAAGAAGTAACTCTAACTTTCACTGGTACAAATGAAAAGCTCCAGGAGCTGAGCCTAGATGATAACCAATTCCCCAACATAAGCATTCCAGTGTTCCGGGGACTTGACAAGATGGAGGAGCTCAGTCTCAGCAGAATGCCTTCACTGACCAATGTAGCCTTTGACGCTTTCCACGGTCTTCCATCACTCAAACACCTTAACCTCAGTCACAATCCACGCCTAACATTGGTGCATTCACACCTATTTGATCAACTTCCTAAGTTGGCATCCATTGATCTCAGTCACAACAACCTATCCAGCCTATCAGTACTGACATTCCACAACAATCACAACCTGCAAACAGCAAAGCTAGATGGCAATCACTTTACATGTAACTGTGGCTTGGCCTGGTTAGCACAATATGTCACCAACCATTCTACTGTTTTCAGTAGGGACCTACACTGTCTTTCAGATGGTAAACGAATACATCTTACCAAAGCTACAACTCTCCATGAAATGTGTAAAGAAATTCCACAGGTTAATACAACAGAACTGTTATACTTTGCAATTGGATCTCCTGCTCGCATCACATGTGAGTTTGAGCCAGATCCTGATAGTGTGGTGATATGGACCACGCCCCGTCACCAGATCCTAACCTACCATGCCTTCCACCCCGAGGTGATATCCCACATGCTGAGCAAGGAGGACACCCTTCTCAACAGCTCCTACCATGCCTCCCACTACTGGCACAACAGCTCCACCTACCAAGCCAGTCTCAGCAGCTACAAGGACAGGATCGTCCTGCTCAATGACGGCTCACTCTACATCGACTATGTCCTCCGCCTTGACAACGGTCCTTACAAGTGCTTAGTGATGAATGCAAACTACAATTCTTCAGATGTAATCCTGATCAGACTTGACTACAGTGTCTTATTCAATGTCAAAGTCATGAGTATTATTGTGGGTTCAGGCTGTGCTGTTTCCTTACTTCTACTAAACATCATATACTCAATCATCAGAGCAATAGCTCGACGTCTAGTCAACAAACGTCGCAGGGAAGCAATCAGAAAACTCCTTGAAAACCTTGATCTTTACAAGACAACACAATTTGCAAGACTGCGTGAAAATTACAGTGGTCAACTGAACCGCATCAGAGACCAGTATCATAATCAGTTCCACCGTCTGAGTGACAACTACAACTCCCAGCTGAAGCGGGTGAGGCGGGGCTGCACGTACCAGGTGGTCCGCATCAGGGACAACTACACCACGCAGGTGGGGCGGCTGCGCAACTACAGCTCACATCAGATTGAGCAGATCCGCGAGAGGTATAACAACCAGCTGTTGAAGATGCGGGACTATGGGTCTCTGCAGATGGTCCGTCTGCATGAAAAGTACAAGCTCCAGCAGCAGCATGTCATAAAGCTCCTGGAGACCATGAACCTGGACAACTGCAAGACTGTGATAGAGACTGAGTGCTTGAGGACTGAGAGCATGATCTTTGATGTGGACATACTGAAGGATACAGAGGACAGCTCCCTCCCACCTCTCTCTGGAAGCGACTCAGAATATATCACTGCATCTAGTTCGGAAAATTCTAGTCAGGACAGTTTACGAATGTCACCATGTCTTGATGATGATGACTTTGAAAGACATTTAAATACTCAGGAATTCAACAGTCATCTACCCGATGTAGAAGAACCTCAGGTAGTTTCAGCACAGTTAAGTAGCTTACAGGACCATGACAATGTCTCTTTTGTGATAGATATGAATGTGGAAGAAGGGGACAACGTCACGGAATCTATAGTATGAGTGTGACTAAATCCGGTATAAATGTTGCAGAGTCCAGGACCCACTGGGTCTGGTCAACAAGTGTCCACCAGTAAACATTTCTCCAAACTGTCTGTGCTTGTTACTTCCTATACAATAACCGATCTCGGTATCTGTGGTAAAATCAGAAGTTCTCTGCCTCTGCTGGAGGAACTTGTAATTGTGTGATGAGCACCTGCAGACAGTGTGGATATGTGTTTACCGGAGGGAGCAGGACTGACTGTGGAGGGCTGAATGTATATAGTCAAGAGACATACAAATTCTAATCCAGAGACCAAAACTGTGTAATGCATGAACAGACCTCATGGCAAACACTCAGTTTACAATATTTTAAACAATGAAATATATGCAATATTCAGAACATTTGTCACTTTGGTATTTGTTTCACTACTACTGTTTCCTTGTTTCAAGATGCTCCTATGTTTGGTGTTGTTCTTGTGCTTGTCCAACTTGCCTACTTTGATTGCCAGGCGACACACATCAGAACAAACAGCCCCACAACAAATGGAGCACAGGATCAATGTTAATCATACGTTTATTGTACTCGTTTACTTGGCCTGTGTCTAGTTCATTGAATACCTTTTTCAAAATATTCTCCATCTAAATTATCCATATTTGTTCTGATGTAAGTGTAACATGGCACTGCCAATAAATGTACAGCGACTAAGCTAATATGGCTTCCTGTCTGCATAGTTTCATTAGGAGTTGCCAACACAGACAGTCCTTGGAGATCAAGCACCAATATTGCTACCACTTCTCGTTACACTATTGTGTTTAGACTCTGAAGTTCACATAAGCTGACACACAGATCAATTAGTGGATGCAAGAATCCTGCGCAAGTTGTTCACATGCATACAACCTAGAATTATGTCGAGAAGATTTCTCCCAATTTGACTGATTTAGACCTGACTTATTCTAGGATAGCAAGAAATGGCCCACTTTTGTGAGCACTGTATTGATTGTAAGATCAATGGGCTCCGATTGATTTGGGTAGGCTTGTGGGGCTGCTGTGCTGTTGTGGAGAAGGCATAACTCCTCACACCAGAACATCAGCGAATGACACACTTACACAAAAAGAGGTAGCTGTATCAATTTTGGTATTTACAGAGATCATTTCAAAAATTTCAACACAAACTGAACATTATTAAAACAATGTTAGTCAAGGTTTAAGATCATCAAAATTATTCATTCTGACAAATGCTTGATATCGAAGATACTCATGATGTTACAGCTGAAGAGTTCAATCTTAATTTTGTGAACACTATAAATTCCTTGAGACTGAGTTCAGAATCAGTTTGAAGAGTGACCTGATTTGATAGGAAATCTTGAAACTCATGTAACATTTATCTTTAACTACAATGTCATTAAGTAATCACATTATGTTTTCATACATATGGCATACAGAATTCCCTGCGCCATATATTATAGTTCAGGAACACATAGCTACAGATGATTGTAAACACTCCTCATTTCCTAGATACAAAGGAGTGAAGCGTATACAAGATGAGTTTTGTATTACATGGAGATGTTATTTCCAAGTTTGCTCTGACTCCCTCTTGTCTTGTTGGCCTGTCAACTTCAGTATATATTCCAGTTCAACAAGTTGAAGTCGAAATTCTAGTGTGTTAAAAAACACTTCCAATACAATTTGATTCAATGTTATTTGTATTGTGAATTACTTTATTGTCCTTTGCACTTGAACAACTTTATTCACTTAATGCACCTTTTACTGATACACCTTTGACATGCCATCTACTGGTAAGTGATAAAGCTCTGGCTGTGGTAATCACATTAACATGTACAACGGTGTCCCTGACGTTCATCAAAGGTTGGCTGATTGCAACTTCCATCCGACGACATGTTTCAAGTTTGCACTAAACATCAAATTGTTAACAGCCACTGGTAATTGACGAAAGCTCTTCAGATGTATCAAATCACACTTGTTACATTTAGGCAGGACAAAAAGAGGTAACAAATTATGAAGCTGGAAATTTACTTTCTCTTGTTGTGTGTAATGTGTGTTGATTTCATATTGTCTTCAGAAAGTTGTTATCCCAAACATAAGATGATAAGTAGGGTTGCCTGTAGCCTCTGACACTTTCACACATTGTATGCAAGTTCATGTTTGATAATCACAACCATTGAAATGTTGCTGTTTTTATCTTGTGTAAACTTCCTGACTCTAACCCTAAGGTCCCCCTGAAAGATACCCTGAATAAATAGGATCAGTTATTATTCCATTCTTCACACATGACACTGCACTACATTGTCATTGGATATGGCATCAGTTAGGTCTTGTCCAACATGGATTTCTTTACTGGTTAGACGATAGATGTTTGAAAGTGTAAGATTTGTCATTTTATTCCAATGTTAAAGAGTATGTTACAGATATTAGTAAATATCACAAAAACGACACAAGTGTTTTGTTTTCTGTGAAGCAGAACACACTGGACCGTGATGGGTGAGGAATGTTGAAACAACACCCTTGGCTGGGTGAGGAACGTCTAAACAACACCCTTGGCTGGGTGAGGAATGTCTGAACAACACACTGGGCTAAGATGGGTGAGGAATGTCTGAACAACACACTGGGCTGAGATGGGTGAGGAATGTCTGAACAACACACTGGGCTGAGATGGGTGAGGAATGTCTGAACAACACACTGGGCTGAGATGGGTGAGGAATGTCTGAACAACACACTGGGCTGAGATGGGTGAAGAATGTCTGAACAACACACTGGGCTGAGATGGGTGAGGAATGTCTGAACAACACACTGGGCTGGGTGAGGAATGTCTGAACAACACACTGGGCTGAGATGGGTGAGGAATGTCTGAACAACACACTGGGCTGGGTGAGGAATGTCTGAACAACACACTGGGCGAGGTGAGGAATGTCTGAACAACACACTGGGCTGGGTGAGGAACGTCTAAACAACACCCTTGGCTGGGTGATGAATGTCTGAACAACACCCTTGGCTGGGTGAGGAACGTCTAAACAACACCCTTGGCTGGGTGACGAACATCTGAACAACACACTGGGCTGGGTGAGGAATGTCTGAACAACACACTGGGCTGAGATTAGTGATGAACGTCTGAACAACACACTGGGCTGGGTGAGGAATGTCTGAACAACACACTGGGCTGAGATTGGGCAGGAATGTGAACAACACACTGGGCTGAGATGGGTGAGGAATGTCTGAACAACGCACTGGGCTGGGTGAGGAATGTCTGAACAACACACTGGGCTGAGATGGTTGAGGAATGTCTGTGAACAACACACTGGGCTGAGATGGGTGAGGAATGTGAACAACACACTGGGCTGAGATGGGTGAGGAATGTCTGAACAACACACTTGGCTGGGTGAAGAATGTCTGAACAACACACTGGGCTGAGATTGGTGAGGAACATCTGAACAACACACTGGGCTAGGTCAGGAATGTCTGTGAACAACACACTGGGCTGGGTGAAGAAGATATGAACAACACACTGGGCTGAGATGGTTGAGGAATGTCTGTGAACAACACACTGGGCTGGGTGAAGAATATATGAACAACACACTGGGCTGAGATGGTTGAGGAATGTCTGTGAACAACACACTGGGCTGAGATGGGTGAGGAATGTCTGTGAACAAAACACTCGGCTGGGTGAGGAATGTCTGAACAACACACTGGGCTGAGATGGGTGAGGAATGTCTGAACAACACACTGGGCTGGGGGAGGAATGTCTGAACAACACACTGGGCTGAGATTGGTGACAACGTATGAACAACACACTGGGCTGAGATGGGTGAGGAATGTCTGAACAACACACTGGGCTGGGTGAGGAATGTCTGAACAACACACTGGGCTGGGTGAGGAACGTCTGAACAACACACTGGGCTGGGTAAGGAACGTCTGAACAACACACTGGGCTGGGTGAGGAATGTCTGAACAACACACTGGGCTGGGTGAGGAATGTCTGAACAACACACTGGGCTGGATGAGGAATGTCTGAACAACACACTGGGCTGGGTGAGGAATGTCTGAACAACACACTGGGCTGGGTGAGGAACGTCTGAACAACACCCTTGGCTGGGTAAGGAACGTCTGAACAACACACTGGGCTGGGTGAGGAATGTCTGAACAACACACTGGGCTGGGTGAGGAATGTCTGAACAACACACTGGGCTTGGTGAGGAATGTCTGAACAACACACTGAACTGAGATTAGTGATGAACGTCTGAACAACACACTGGGCTGGGTGAGGAATGTCTGAACAACACACTGGGCTGGGTGAGGAATGTCTGTGTATCAAGTAGACAGAACAGTGTATTGTGATGGTGGAGTATCAAGTAGACAGTACAGTGTATTGTGATGGTGTAGTATCAAGTAGACAGTACAGTGTATTGTGATGGTGTAGTATCAAGTAGACAGTACAGTGTATTGTGATGGTGGAGTATCAAGTAGACAGTACAGTGTATTGTGATGGTGTAGTATCAAGTAGACAGTACAGTGTATTGTGATGGTGTAGTATCAAGTAGACAGTACAGTGTATTGCGATGGTGTAGTATCAAGTAGACAGTACAGTGTATTGCGATGGTGTAGTATCAAGTAGATAGTACAGTATATTATGATGGTGTAGTATCAAGTAGACAGTACAGTGTATTGTGACACTGGTAACAAGTAGACAGTACAGTGTATTGTGATGGTGTAGTATCAAGTAGACAGTACAGTGTATTGCGATGGTGTAGTATCAAGTAGACAGTACAGTGTATTGCGATGGTGTAGTATCAAGTAGATAGTACAGTATATTGTGATGGTGTAGTATCAAGTAGACAGTACAGTGTATTGTGATGGTGTAGTATCAAGTAGACAGTACAGTATATTGTGATGGTGGAGTATCAAGTAGACAGTACAGTGTATTGCGATGGTGTAGTATCAAGTAGACAGTACAGTGTATTGCGATGGTGTAGTATCAAGTAGATAGTACAGTGTATTGTGATGGTGTAGTATCAAGTAGACAGTACAGTGTATTGTGATGGTGTGGTATCAAGTAGACAGTACAGTGTATTGTGATGGTGTAGTATCAAGTAGACAGTACAGTGTATTGTGATGGTGTAGTATCAAGTAGACAGTACAGTATATTGTGATGGTGGAGTATCAAGTAGACAGTACAGTATATTGTGATGGTGTGGTATCAAGTAGACAGTACAGTATATTGTGATGGTGTAGTATCAAGAAGACAGTACAGTGTATTGTGATGGTGTAGTATCAAGTAGACAGTACAGTATATTGTGATGGTGTAGTATCAAGTAGACAGTACAGTATATTGTGATGGTGTAGTATCAAGTAGACAGTACAGTGTATTGTGATGGTGTAGTATCAAGTAGACAGTACAGTATATTGTGATGGTGTAGTATCAAGTAGACAGTACAGTGTATTGTGATGGTGTAGTATCAAGTAGACAGTACAGTATCAAGTGATGGTGTAGTATCAAGTAGACAGTACAGTGTATTGTGATGGTGTAGTATCAAGTAGACAGTAGAGTAAATTGTGATGGTGTAGTATCAAGTAGACAGTACAGTATCAAGTGATGGTGTAGTATCAAGTAGACAGTACAGTGTATTGTGATGGTGTAGTATCAAGTAGATAGTACAGTGTATTGTGATGGTGTAGTATCAAGTAGACAGTACAGTGTATTGTGATGGTGTAGTATCAAGTAGACAGTACAGTATATTGTGATGATGTAGTATCAAGTAGACAGTACAGTATATTGTGATGGTGTAGTATCAAGTAGACAGTACAGTATATTGTGATGGTGTAGTATCAAGAAGACAGTACAGTGTATTGTGACACTGGTAACAAGAAGACAGTACAGTGTATTGTGATGGTGTAGTATCAAGTAGACAGTACAGTATATTGTGATGGTGTAGTATCAAGTAGACAGTACAGTGTATTGTGATGGTGTAGTATCAAGTAGACAGTACAGTATCAAGTGATGGTGTAGTATCAAGTAGACAGTACAGTGTATTGTGATGGTGTAGTATCAAGTAGACAGTAGAGTAAATTGTGATGGTGTAGTATCAAGTAGACAGTACAGTATCAAGTGATGGTGTAGTATCAAGTAGACAGTACAGTGTATTGTGATGGTGTAGTATCAAGTAGATAGTACAGTGTATTGTGATGGTGTAGTATCAAGTAGACAGTACAGTGTATTGTGATGGTGTAGTATCAAGTAGACAGTACAGTATATTGTGATGATGTAGTATCAAGTAGACAGTACAGTATATTGTGATGGTGTAGTATCAAGTAGACAGTACAGTATATTGTGATGGTGTAGTATCAAGAAGACAGTACAGTGTATTGTGACACTGGTAACAAGAAGACAGTACAGTGTATTGTGATGGTGTAGTATCAAGTAGACAGTACAGTATATTGTGATGATGTAGTATCAAGTAGACAGTACAGTATATTGTGATGGTGTAGTATCAAGTAGACAGTACAGTATATTGTGATGGTGTAGTATCAAGAAGACAGTACAGTGTATTGTGACACTGGTAACAAGAAGACAGTACAGTGTATTGTGATGGTGTAGTATCAAGTAGACAGTACAGTATATTTTGATGGTGGAGTATCAAGTAGACAGTACAGTGTATTGTGATGGTGTAGTATCAAGTAGACAGTACAGTGTATTGTGATGGTGTAGTATCAAGTAGATAGTACAGTGTATTGTGATGGTGTAGTATCAAGTAGACAGTACAGTATATTGTGATGGTGTAGTATCAAGTAGACAGTACAGTGTATTGTGACACTGGTAACAAGTAGATAGTACAGTGTATTGTGATGGTGTAGTATCAAGTAGACAGTACAGTATATTGTGATGATGTAGTATCAAGTAGACAGTGCAGTGTATTGTGATGGTGTAGTATCAAGTAGACAGTACAGTATATTGTGATGGTGTAGTATCAAGTAGACAGTACAGTGTATTGTTATGGTGTAGTATCAAGTAGACAGTACAGTGTATTGTGATTGTGTAGTATCAAGTAGACAGTACAGTGTATTGTGATGGTGTAGTATCAAGTAGACAGTACAGTGTTTTGTGATGGTGTAGTATCAAGTAGACAGTACAGTATCAAGTGATGGTGTAGTATCAAGTAGATAGTACAGTGTATTGTGATGGTGTAGTATCAAGTAGACAGTACAGTGTATTGTGATGGTGTAGTATCAAGTAGACAGTACAGTGTATTGTGATGATGTAGTATCAAGTAGACAGTACAGTGTATTGTGATGGTGTAGTATCAAGTAGACAGTACAGTATCAAGTGATGGTGTAGTATCAAGTAGACAGTACAGTATCAAGTGATGGTGTAGTATCAAGTAGACAGTACAGTGTATTGTGATGGTGTAGTATCAAGTAGACAGTACAGTATCAAGTGATGG